ATGAATAGAAATGCTGCATACTGCATGGCCAGCGGAAAAGGGCGGACCCCAGCAGCGACAGACCTGGGACACAAATGAATAGAAATGCTCCATGGCCAACGGAAATGGGCGGACACCAGCGACAGACCTGGGAGATTAAATTACTGTAATGCATAGAAATGCTACATGGCCAACGGAAAAGGGCGGACACCAGCAGCGACAGACCTGGGAGATTAAAGGAATAGAAATGCTACATGGCCAGCGGAAAAGGGGGGACACCAGCAGTGACAGACCTGCAAGACAAATGAATAGAAATGCTACATGGCCAGCGGAACAGGGGGGACATCAGCAGTGACAGACCTGGGAGACAAATTAATAGAAATGCTGCGTGGCCAGCGGAAAAGGGCGGACACCAGCAGTGACACAAAGGGCGGACACATCTTAAGAATGAATTGAGAACCCCTAACAGTAAACTGTTTGGGGAAAAACTCTGTACAATACGCATGTCCTTGGAGGACCAAAAAATAGACGTCTATAAAATGGTTCCCTCAGGCTTGTCCCAAAAATGTCTTAACATGTCATGTTTCACTGAGTTTGGCCTTGGAAAAATAAGCCCATTTTATAGAGAAAAGCGTGTACCCAGCCCCCCATTCTATCATTCTGTAGAGGAAGTTCCGGACGTCAATATATCCACCACACAAAGTACTTAGTACTGACAGCTATGAGGAACTGGAATGTGACGCACTGGGGCGCTGACGGCGCTTTGGCCTCTTCACTCCATTTGTCCTTGTCCCCTCCTTCTTTTTCCTTGGCCTCTTTGTCTCCTCCTTTCTTTTCTTGCGATCAGACTTTGAATGCTTCTCCTGACACTGGCCAGCCATCGCAGGAAAACGCAGGACGACTCGCGTCTGGCTTGGATGAGATTGCAAAAATTGCTAACAAGCCCCAATTGCTTGCTCATAGGTGCATGGCTCAAAGCCCATTACCAGGGCGATCCATCCCTTATTCGATTATTGGCAAAAGTCGCACATTTGTATCGAATCTTTAGACTTTGAACTTTTGAACTTGGATTGAGGTATATAGTATATAAATATAAATGGTTCTACGTTGTAAAGAAACACTATGTTTAGATGTTGGGCCAAACACATACGTCAAACTTTGCCAGAATATGTGCGCGTACTTTGCCAGGATAGGTGTTCGTCGAAATTTGTACAGATTTAGAGTGACTGCCAATTGTTGCATCACCAGTCCAGTTGATGCGTGACAGGGAAGGAAAGGGGAAGGGCTGTAAGGATTGGAAGGTCGGGTGTGGGACCAATCACCATGCATCGATGTCCTTCTTTTGCTTTCGATGTGGAGAATCGCCCTCAAGAGCAGACTTCATAAAGAGACTGCCCAGACTTTGAAATCCTTGGAGCCAAATTGGAACTGTCACTGGAAAATCATAATGATCAAGTCCTCAAAGCAACTTAATCGCGCTGAAGTGAACTTGGATGCGTACAAGTGCTGCTTCTGGCTGGTGACAGCCTTCATTTCTTCAGCTTGATGGCCCCATGGCAAAATCAAGTGATTGTAGGAGTTGACCTCTTGCATTGCTTACCTTTGTCCCTTATCACTTATGCTGTCCCTGATGGCATGAAGTCATGCTATGAGTTGAACGAGACTTTCAAAAAAAACATGTCACCAGTGCCCCACACATCGCAATTAGTCAGATTCTTGGATCATATTGAACGCGTGCAGTGCAGACTCGAGCCAAGGGCCAAGGGCCTCCTATTACAAAAAAGTCTGCACTCAAAAAACTCCGAAGACATCAGAGTGCTCTGCTGATGTTTGCTGATTCATGAGGCGTGGTTTGTTGGTTTCATTTCTGTTTCGAGCATGGGTCCTCCATGGCAACTCTTAACTGCCACGAGGAAGGAGCTTTCGGAGCGGCATCAGTGCAAGGCGCGAAAAAGCTCCTAGTAGCGTCCTTGCTCCCAGTAGTAAGGCCAGGAGCCTCTAGTAACATCCTTGTTCCTAGGAGTTTGCTCAGGCAATGACCTGTTGCTACGGGTGAGTATATTCTGCATCGGCTTGCTCATCACCCCGCTCGCTCATCACTATCAAATCATGCAATGTGGGCTGTCGATCTACTGCATGTAGTGCCCACGCTTGCTCCAAAGCTGGGATGCATGAAAGCGGGTCAGTACACTGTATCCACCCTATTGCATCAGAAACCTTTCCAAACAATGTCATCCCTCCCACCACCAACTTTCTGATGCGCTTTGATCCACTCAATCATATTACATCGCACTCTTGGCAACTCAACTGGGGTGGGCTCACCTTTTCCATGGCCCTTTGTGTCAAGTGAAGCTTGTCGACGAGCCCTTTTTGCATCGCGTGACACCTGCGTTTGGCAAGCTTTGTATCCAGGATTCCGCTGGCATTTATATATGTACATCGAAAGCTCGGAAAGTTGACATCAAGCCATCAAGCCAAACAATCCTAACAGGCGTAAGGACAACACCACAAGGAAGGCTGACAACCATGCCTCTCGTCCGCTTCTTTGTGAGCTGCCGCCAACTTTCGTTGAAAGTCCTAGATAGAACATGATAGAACGGCTCTGCGAACAGTATGGGCAGTAAGCTGGCCCCTGTTAGGAATATAAAGGAAGAGCATAAAGAGATGCATGAACAAAGAAAGGTAAGGCCTCTTTATATGGGCCCTACCTTCCTTTTTCATCTCGTCCTTGTTCTGCTATTTCTAACAAAAGCAAGTGCAAGAAGCGGGTCTTGGCCTACGGACTCTTGAAGACATAGATCGAAGGAAGACTTTGACAAAAACAAGACATCCAAGCAAACTTCTCAGCTTCACAGCAACGAACTTGTTACTTTTGTTCGGCTTCATCGTGCTGAAGCAGCAGACGCCATGCGTATCCAACATGCCCACCTCGAACATCGCAGCTGCCCGGCTTTGGACTTGTTGCGAAATCAACACATGAATTTGAAGGTTATTTTGGAGGCAGTTCTCTCCCAGCGTAAGGCATTGCTAAGTTTGCATGGTGGTGTCATGTTCTCAGGCTTTGTTCTGCATACATGTGCCTCCAAGCATCTCAGGCGTCAATTTCAGTTATATAGAGTCAGAGATTTGATGACACCAAGAAACCTCCAACCACACAGGGGTAAACCAACTCCATGAGCAGCTCCACCACAGGTCGTGGGGCGGGCGACCAGAACAATCTCGGTAGTAGTCTTAGTACCTCAAAGCTACTCTACCAGCTCCTAAATGGCTAGTCCGTTTCCCACACCTGAAAGTGAACGTCAGGCGGGAGAGACACGGGATCCTTCAAAACAAGTCCCCCAAGAAAAGTATCAATTCATTGAACTGATCACAAATCTTTAAATTCGTTGAACTAACTGTCGCTTCTGCAGTCAAAAAAACATTGCCCAGGTCGATCAATCCCCTTTCATGCCTCCTGCAACAATGACGGAGCCGGTTGCAATTCAGCCTGAACGGGGCAGCACCAAACTCCATGGAAGAGTTTTAAACACACTTGCTACCTACCGCCGACTCCTTTGACTGCCACGTCCCGCAGAAAAGGAAGCAACGTTCCTCTTCAACTGCAGTAGGGTAAAAGCCAGCACTAGGGGGGTCTCGCCTCCTGGACCAGCTGCAAGAATGACCGTGTTTTCGAGCGTAGCTCAAGACGCCCAGGCTGGGACATGGATATGAGGACACCGCCTGGTCGCAAACCACATTGGCTAGGTCCATTGCTAAAGCTGCTGGTGTACAACTCGCCAAATCTCTTCAATTGACACAAACGACGTATCCTCCAGGCAAGAGGCTCAAGACTCAAGTACTCAAGTCCTTTTCCTCTCAAGGTTGGCCAAGATTGAAGGATATTGAAAGACACCTAGTTGGGTTTCGGATCCCGACACGACATATTCAAGGGTTTTTAGATCTGATTCAAAGGCAAACCCAGCCTGTAGCAACAACCCTCCATGCCTGCAGACAACAAAGCTGTATGATATCATGTGATATTCGATATCCTATTGATTGTGCAGCTCAATGCAGATCCGTCAGCAGCTCAAACACTAGCTAAACCAAGTAATATACTGTAGGAATACTCGATCCTCGATCTCCCCAATCCCTATTGGAGGTACAAAATACCAGATGCTTCAGACTCCAAGCACAGGCAGCCTCTGCCAAGGCCACTTGAACTTCAGAAGTACCAGGCCTGAGACACTCTCTAGTGTTTCAGCTACAGATACAACTGCAACATGTCTCAATTAAAAAGCCGAAACACTAAACTCCAAAAGAAAGAAACTACATCCACTCTTGACTCTGCGCCTTGTCCGGAGAGCATCGAAGAGGCCTTTCCTCGGAGAGACTGGCAACTAGGATCCACCAGGTCTTCAAAACGTTCATGGCCGTGTGGGAGGAACCCAATGGCACAATTCTGCGTGTTGAGATGTGTCCCCTGGCATTATATATTCTCTCTCCCACCCGGTCCCAGCAGTATCGAGCATCTCACCAAACTGTGGAATGTTTTCTGGAGGGTGTGCTGTACATGTTCACATGTCCTTGTGCACCGGCAATTATTTCTGCAGAAAAATGTACCTAGCTTTCTCAGCTTGGAGTCTCCAAAACGATGTCAAAGCAGCCGTCGCGAAATGGCAGCCTCACAGCCATTCGAAGGCCACAACCCACCGCAAACCCAGCACAGCCAAGGTATTGTTTGAAAAACAGCACCTTGAAATCAAGTTCCAAGTGAAAACTGTTTTTCAAGTTCGTGAAGCTCGATCTCGTCCAATCCCAAGCCGCCTCTTGACGTCAGCCACAGTGAAAACTAGCCTAGTTCCTCGACCTGAGCAAAGTGTTGTGTGATTGAAGACAAAGCTTGCACTGCAGGATGACTTGGTGTGCAGCACGTACTGTATCTGTAATATCATCTCAACGACCTGCCTATTATATATATATAGGCTAGGCATTAGCAGGGCAAACTGGGCGCCATTGAGTGCTGGACTGCGAGGGGGAGCTGTTGCCTTGCCATGTCAAAGGGCTTTGTGGTCGTGAGTAGGTGATGGCAGCTCCGATATGAGCAAACAAGGGAAACAGTACAATGCCTGCAAGCGATCTTACATATCAGCTGCACGTACAGGGCATATAGCAGCAAATACACTGTCCAGCGGGAGTTAATCAAAATCGGGAGCCCTCACTTGTCTTTCAATATCATCGCATTCCGCATACAGTAACTCCACGGTTGATGCCATCCTCTGCAATGAATTACATTTTGTGCAAAAGCAAGGAATCTTTGGTTGGCTGAGACTACGTAACTGCTAACCGAGGAATCTTGATGAATACCCTATAGATTCATGTTGATTCACTTTGCAAGGAAAGCATTCGTGTGGGTCCAGTCTGAGCAAGCCTGGGCGCAGCATTGGCTGTGAACCAAATCCAGGCCTTCTGGTGCAACAGAGCTTCTGGAGAAATGTCGCAGCCAACCACCAATCGAGCAAATCCTCCTTCTGCAAGCTGTGCAGGCAAGCGCGAGGTACCTCAGCAAGCAGTGTTGCTGGGATTGATGCGTCAATCAAGGGTATATGTTATTCCTGTCGGTCTGTGAGAATGAATCAATGCAAACAGCAGTCAATTCTTTGTTTTGCCGAAGAAAACACAAGTAGGTGTAAACGAGTGGATACAAATGCGTTAAATCAAGCCAAGCCAGACCACCTCAGAGGCTATTTTGCACTGGATGTCTTTAAACCTAGAGCAACTTCGAGACTCAAAGTTCCGACGCTTTGCAGTGGGATTATTGATTCTTGTGCGAGGTATGAGTCATGATTATGTGATAGTGCCACGAGAAGGCTCTCTTGAACCGAACTTTAACCCTGTGTTTTTCAAAGGTACTGTCGCCAGCAAAGCTCTCTTTAGCAACCTCTCACAGCTTTGTGCAAACTCGAGCTGCCACAGCCAAGATCAAGGATTCTGCGTGTCTTCGGCCGGATGAAGCGGCCCAGTATTGGTCCCACATCCTCAAAGCTTGCATGTTCTTCATCGGTTTATCGCCCATGGTGTTCTTCTCTGATTTCAGTTTACTCGCTGCTTGTAGATTGCAACTTGCGGCGTTGTTTTGCCTTTGCAAAGCGAAACCGCTGCTTCAAGCACAACCCCCACTCACACCGGAGGGCCTTCCAATCAACATTGTACCATTCCAGAATCTCTCCTTGCTCCAGCTGACTGAAGATGTGACTGTAATATTCCGGCCTGGCGTCTCAGGTCAGCTTACTGAGGCCAAAGGCTTGGGGAGCTTCTGTTTATTTCAACGTTTGGAATTGAAGCCTTTTCAGAAATACATACGTCTTTTAAGAACTTCTTTTCAAAAAGGGTGCTTCCACTGTGGTGCTGAAGTTTGGATTGGACTCCTCGGCAGAATCTACGTCGCAGGAGGTCAAACCAGTCGTCACAATCCGGAGTGATGGAGTTCGGAGTTCCATCCTATTTGCAGCCATACATCTCAACATTCAGACTAGGGATAGGCTGATGAAGGTCAGGTAAGCAGCCTGTATCTGTAATAAGTAGCAAACACGGCCGTAAGACGTGTCGAAGATCCTGCGCCTTACCAGCAACCACGTGTTGCCCCAAAGCTTGCTACAGCTGCTGTCTCTTACTATTGAACTCACTCAGTGATTCTTTTTCTCCATGCATGTAGTATTAGACACTCACGAGATAAGATTGCGGCGCGAAGGGCACAGAGCTTCTTTGAATTGTCGCCTGAGGCACCCACTTGTGGAACACAAAAGTGTGATGCCAAACATCTATGTCTATGTGTGTATGTATATATTATGTATACATCTAGATGGTATATTCGTCCAACCTTGGACCGGCCAGTGCCAGTTGAGCAATTGTCATATCTTCTGATGAGAACTAAGCACCAAGCCAGGCAGCGCTTCGCCATCATTGCCATGGGTCACAACGCTACGGGGCATCAAGAGAGGGGAACGATCATCCTAGGCCGAAGAAGCTATTTCTGCGAGCCCGTCGCTTCGGACATGGCGTTGTTGCTGGAGAGCTAGAACCAGATTGCACCACCGAGCACTCGTCAAGTACGTCCTCCTCTCGAAGCTCAGCTTCAATCCGGCTTCTCTGCCGTACATCCTTCAAGCTCGAGACTGTGGCAGCTCAGTGGTTGCATGTGACTGTCAATAAAACAAATGAATACAAATGAGAGAATTGCACGAGCACATCTCCATTAAAACATCGCTTTGGAACAGCCTCAAGCTGCTGCTCTGCTTTGAGTCTTTGTCCAACCTCAACTGAAAGTGCTTCCTCCTGAATGTTGTCGTGCTCCTAGCTTTAGAGATTGAAATCAGGCTTCGGCCAATTTGTTCAATTCTTCTGTTTGCTGAGTCACCTCAGGTTGCATCAGCCTAAACCCTGTGCTCACTGTTCGAACCCCAGGCACACAAGACAAACACTTACAACACTGTTCTTCCAAAAAAAGGTGGCACGAGCCTGTTCGGACAACTTTCTGGATGTCTCCTTTCAGAAAAGCTGAGCTAACTTCATTCTTCCAAACATTTCAAGATTGTGCCTCGGCTCCTGTTCTCGCTTTTGACAACTCGAGATTTGCCTGATAAAGAGATGGAGCCACCAGCAGTTGCTAAAGACCCCAAATGCAAACACCTTGGGCTGAACTTAGCACGCCTCGCTTTCTTTGTGGATACGCGCCAACAAGTTGTCGGAACGCTTCTGCATCTCCTGCAGCACTCATTGCAACAGCCAATGTCTTGCCGAGGATCTGCAAGTGATGTGAAGACGGTTTCGTTCAGGATCAACATAACTATATATATATATCGTTGAAACTGGCAAATACCGCTTAGACGAGCCCTTAAAGTTCAAGTTCAGGCATGCGCAAGATCTGCAGTTCTCGCTGATCCCTCACCTGTAAAGCTTGGCGCATGCTTTCATAGCTGCGCTCCGGCGATGTCCTTCATCAAGTCTTTTCAAAAACCAAAAGCTCTGACCGAAACCCTGCTAAGCCAAGCAGCTGCTTATATTTCAGGACAAAAAAGGTAGACGAAAAATACAACCTGAGAGGCACGCCCTCGGTAGGCCAGGGAGGGCACCACCTAGAAGCAGGGCACTTAATGTGCAACATCTAGGTTCTTGCCAGGAAAGCGCAAAAAAAATATAAACATGAAAACAGCAGTGCGGGGCCGCCAGTTTTTGTGGCCATCTCATTCCACTGAGTCTGAATAATGCGGGCGCGCACCCGGCATTCAGCTCAGGAGTCGACCAGCCAACGAATAGTTCAGGGCAAAGCACACACTCACATGATGAACACACATGAAACAAAAACAAAGGCCAAGTGAATCTTTGAACCTTGTGAAGTCGGAACTATGCCATCCCTCTTGGATGGCACTTCTACCATCCCATGAATTGACAAAACAATTTTACAAGCCCTCATGACATCTGCTTTCCTACAAGGCTTGGCTGGAAGTCATAATGCCTTTAATGTATACTGCTTGGGCTGCTCCTTGTGAAACGCTGACCTGCAGACCATCTATTCATTTCACTGGCCACCTTTGTTGCCTTCGAACTTTGAATCAGGAGCCTCAAGAGAGGGGAGTGCACACTTGAGAGACTTGAGAAGCGGGAAAGAACACGAGAGAATACTTTGCTCATCCCACCATCCATACAGTAAGAGAATGACCACCAATGCAGGCGATGGTGTACTCTCTGATGCTTCAGCTCTAGTGTCACCCATAAGACTTGCGTGAGAATGCTCGGGGCTGGAACACTAATCTGGAAAAACCTTTACTTCATTAAGCTGATTCCAATCACTCAAATGATGCTTGTGATGTGCGTGTCCTTTGGGGGGTGTACCAATTGATTCTATCAGGCAAAGTCGGTGGGGGGAGAGAGCGGGAGAGCCTTTTGCCATGATACATCAATTCGATCGCTCCCCTGAAAACGAGCGAGAACTTCAGCAGATGTGCTGCAGATATCGCTTTCATGACTGAAAACTTGGATGCTGATTTAGTAACCAAGTGTCCAAATGTACGGCTTTGTAACCGGCTCAAAGTCTAAGCTGAGGCCCCGGTCAATCGAAACAGTAAGGCCATCCTGTTGAAGTTTGAGGCAGAACTGCTCTGCCAAAGCCTGCCGAGTGTGGGCTACGCAGCGTGAATTCACGTGTTGAGAGATGCTGCCTTGACTGGAGGGTGTCCGTTCAATGTGGAAAATTGGACATTTGCGAGCAAAGCTGGTACACTCCTTCAACCAAAGTTCAAGTACCTCCTTCGTCCATCCAACAGTAAACAGTAAACATCGCATGCATCTCATGATTCAACATTGTCATTGACAAGAAAACTCGTTCGCCCAATGTCCCTTGCACCTCTATGCCTATGCCTGCCCTTGTAGCAATGCACATAGAAGTAGTAAACCCAAAAAACACCTACCTAAACCCATACCAAATTGAATTGTATATTATATACTATATACAGCTCCACTGGGCCGTGCCTTCCAAACACACGCCACAGTGGCCTTGCCTGAGCTGTGAGCCTGGCACCGATTGTGGAACCACAAAGGTTTAGCAACGCATGGTTTGGTGGTATATTGGTTCAACAAAAGGATGTGAAGAAGTGTCTGCAACCAGTTTTTGTTCCGAAAAGCGTGCTTGCTCAAAGTAGTTTGTGTGTGTGCCCGTCGGCCCCAAGTTCGTTCTAGCAGCCCCTGTGTGCATTTTGTAACATAAGGAAGTCACCAAAGCCGCAAAAACCCTATAAAGACCCACATGTTTCATGTCAGTGGGTGTGATAAGTGCACGTAGCCTGACTGTGTTCCCCAAAAACCCTGCTTTGTGATAGAATTAACATGTTTTTTTTGGAAATTTGTTGTCTCGTGTCGTGGATTGTTTTTACGGATATATAAGTGAAAAAACCATAGGAACGGAGCATGAAGCGCCACTGCCACGACCAAATCCTCTGCTCTATCTGCACCGATTTCAAAGAGAGCAAATTCCTTCAAGTGAGTCCACATTGCATCAACTCCACCAGTGTGAACATTCAAAACCCCGTCTAGAGTCTTCTGTCGTCACATCAACAACTCATCACCATCGTGTTCCACTCATCACATGAACGAAACCAGCCCCCCCCAAACCCCAAACCCCACCCCGCCGAAACCCCGCGTAGGTCACATCAACAACTCATCATCTTGTAAGGTTGATGAACATGTTGTGAAACCGATCATCATGCTCTCTACATAACATCAACGTCCATGGCCACCCGGTCGAAAAAGATCAGTTTTAATCAAATTTATAGCGATTCAAAATTAGCACCACTACACGTTCGGTTTCCGACCCGGTGGCATAAACAAAGCGAAACGGCTGGGCACGAGGCCAGTTCGATGAACGGGCAATATCAGAACGTGGAAGGCAGGACAAGGGAGAGTTGGAGAGTCTAAAGTCTGGCATGCAGGAGAAAGAATTGTAAGATAACATGGCATCAGGGCTGACGAATTCGTAATCTTAGTAAAGCATCAAATGAAGAAGCAAAGTATGAAGATTCAAAACAAAAGCAAAGGATAGAACAGTAGTGAAGTGGGGAAGTCCTCCTAAGGACAAGATGTCTTACATAGCAAGACAGAGTTAAAAGGTGTTGGACTTGGGGATGGAGTGCCCTTTTAGAATTTTGCAATGGAGTTCCTTCTTTTAATTCCCTGTTTGTTTGGACTGCGTTTGCACGTGCGATCCAAGATTTGGCCTTTGGATAGTTCAAAATGCTGTTCAAATCTGTCTTGTCAAAGGTCACCAAAAGTGACAAAATGCACTGATCCGACAAGGCAACATTCAGTGAGAGTCAAACGGACCATCAAATGTTGCGTGGTTGCCAGATGGTCAAAACGTTACCAATATTGCCATATTGCAGTGGAAAGCCAGGCTGTGATTGGAGTTTCAGGACCAACTTCATAAGCAATGAAACAACTGGCTTCCACAAGTGCTCAACTCACCATGCAATTCGATGAACAATTTCGAACACTAGATTTGTAATTAGCACAAACCGAAGGTTTGCCCCTATTGCGCCCATGTCAGGCCTCCCACGTGATAGAGTATGCCTTTCGACGCGAAAGATGTTGCACCACCTGGCGTTTCATGATGACTTGGGTGACCATCAAAAACTGCGAATTGCATCTTTTTGCCAAGGGCCGGTCACAACTGCAGTCAGTACGCTGTAAAGACTGGCAAAGCTCGACTTTGACTAAGCAGTTCGTGACATACTCGAAGGTGTGGATGTCATCGTTATGCAAAAGCACCCTCCACCACCTTAAGGCTTGGAACCAAAAGCATGTGGGTGGATCTCATCATCCCAGACTTCCTGCTTGCCGACTTGAGGGGCGAGCTTCTCCTTTTCAAACTGCTCCTCGGCAGGCAAACATGAGAAGACTCCGGTCAAAGTTCACAGCCTCTCACCTTCATCTGCGTCTTCCTGTCCACCTGGCCATCAGAAGCAGTTGGGCGCTTCATGAGCTGGAGCATTCCAATCCTGCCTTTTCGATCACTGCGATTCCTGCATCCGGAAGGTCAGGCTGCCCTTGAGCACGGCGAGCCACTCGAGATCCTCATCGCCCATCAAGTCAACGAGGGACAGACTTGAAAGACTTCAGCTCTGTCTCTTTTTGCAACATGAAAGGGCATGCCTCTGACAGCAGGGCTCGAGGCAAAGCTCAGCAATCCCTGGCGTATTTGGGACATTTGGGGACCATTGTTTCCAAAGCTCAGCATAAACTTTGGACAATGGTGGTGAGCGCATAATCTGAATTTGAAGAAGTTGCAAACTGCTTGAGGAATTCTTTACTTGGCAACAGCCTGCCTCCGCAAAGCAAGCTACTAGGCCCAGCCTCTGAGGCAACGAATAGAAACAAATCCCAGCAGACAAGGCAGGCATCTATTCAGATACTTTCCCTTCTGAGCAGTTAAAGGCAGCTGCAGAAGTGCTCAGTGCCCAGCAAGCCAATCAGCCAAAATCTTTTTGAGGCATGCTGCCTTCTTTCCACCTCTAGGAGAAAAATTATGTTTCTACATCACATTCCTTCCGCGAGGCTTATAGACTGAAGGGCATCTGCCAGCTGAGTGCTCGGCCATGACCACAAGGAAACAGCAAGCAAGCTGCTAAACCCAACGACCCTTTAGATCCAAAGTGGCGCATGCAAGGCATAAGGCATCCAAAAGCATCCAAGAGCAGAGGGCACAAGCACGAGAGAGATGCAGGTGGCTTACAATAGACTCGTCAGTGACTCAACCAGTCTTCACACGATCAACACAACAGTCATGACACTGATGACTGGATCAAGTGTCTTGGAAGGTATCAGAGCCTGAGAACTTGGTGGAAAGTGCGCAGGCCTCTGATCTCGATTCAATCTAGAATCATCCAAAAGCCCGAATTTGACATGGCAAGATGAGTCACTGCAATTGAGCCCATGACATCTCATCGAAGCCTGAAAAAAGGGCGGCACATCGTCTTTGTCCAGAATACTCGATCTGGAACCAAAAGAGTACTGTAAACTGTAAACTTGTAAATGGCTGTCCTTTGAATCCCTCCTTAAGCCACACAGGTCGCTGTTTGTCGCAAGAATATTACAGAAGAGCCTTAAATACACAACGCAGCCTTGGCTCAATCTAGATCTACGACCTTCTTTCTCGAAAAGAGTCAGATACGGTAATTGCCTGCACCTGCAAGCGCTGCTTTGGTCTCATTTTCCAATGCGTCTGCAAGGGACAAAATCTGCTGCACCTAAGTCAAAAGCTGCCACAAAGGGTAAGAGAGGTTACTGGCTCAAGGGAAAGTCATGATGTGGAAGGAACACGCAAGCCACCCTCCTGCTTCTTCCGCTACTATGGCTCACAGCTTTTCTCCAATGACAGCTGCGAAGCTACGCCAAACCACTGACCAATTCTTGTCCTTTTTCACGGCCCCAAATGGAAACTTGAAGGGTTCTGTCCTGTATGTATAAATAAATATATACAGTATATATATATATGTATATGTGACTAAAAACTGAAAAAAAAACTACCTGCACTTCAAACCTAGGATTTGAGACGGACAAGGGAGTCAAGGGGAAACTGAAACAGCTCCACCAGCGCACATCATTCACTGATCCTCCGCGGTGCCGCCCCAAGCATCGTGACGGCCAGCACTGAGGACAGGAGCAATATGCTGCAGATCGCAAATGATGTCTTCAACCTGCCAGATCAAAGAGAGGCTATGCATGAAAGGAGGCAGAATGCTACGGATAGATTGACTTTCTATGAATAGCTCCAAATTTATTCTAGCCTTCCAAAAACCACATTTGCTGGAAAAGTTGCATCATCCCACCAGCTAATTCTGTTCGGTGACTCCAGATCTGCAAGCAATAGTAGCACGACGCACATGTTCAAGGGCACACGGTATACCTGTGTGCATCCCAGAAGCGAGTTTTTCATTCTAGACAGTTTCAAACTGTCCAGTCTGCATAATCTACTGAAGAAAAACAGAAAAGAATTGGCTTAGAACAAAGCTTCAGCATAGTTGCATTGTAGACTCCAGCCCGCGCTTCTTCCGGGACCAGTTCACTCTTCACAGTGCTCACACAGGGGAAGTAGGCACCCACCTAATACATAAAATCAAGTCAAACGCAAGATTGCAACCAGGTAAGTTACTGGTCAGTGCAGTTTGCATTGGCCAGAGGAGTCCGAGGAATAGGCACACGCTTCAAAAGCAAGGAAGCTGAAGAAAATCAAGGCTTCACCTCAGAAAAACTGTCGAAGTGACAACTTTGCCAATTGTTGATACGCAAAAAAACAAATCTACAGTACATCAAATTGCTTATGCCATTGAGATGTGGCAAATCATGAGGATGCATCAATCACTATCAATCACTGGTTTTTTTCATTGGCTTCGAAAATTGGATTGAAGCAAGCCGCTAGAGGTGGTGAACAAAGAAGAAGCCACTGTGGCCAGTGCACCGGCTGCGAGGAGGCAAACAGGCCAAAGGGCCTTCGGCGCAAGTCCAACTTTTGAGGCAAGCCTGGGACGAACCTGCAGAAACTCTGTTATTGTTACACGAAACGTATCAAAATGTCATCTTTGCCCATGTCAAAGTCAAAGTGCCTTGATGGGTGCAATTGATGCATCAAGCAGGTTGAAGAGCGAGGATCCGCACATGCAAGCCATCCTCATATGGGATATTTGGAACCAGGTAGGAGCAAGGACGCTACTAGGGCTCCTGGTCGCTACTAGGAACAAGAAGCTACTAGGGGCTTCTGGCCTTACTACTAGGAGCAAGGACGCTATGGAACCATGATCCTTCCTTTTACCCTAGCGCAGGTTCTGAAGATTCTTGGCTGCGGGTCAAGCCCCTCACCATAGTGTTCACATTTGTCTAGAGCTTTGGGACGGCCACGTTGATCGAATTTGGTTTTACATGCATCGTTCTCTTAAACTTGACAAGACTCATGAAGGCGCTGAAGATAAGTCCATGTGGTGGAGTACCAGCAGAACAACCATCCAATGCTGGAGTCCAGTTGAAGACAAAAACGTACCTGTGCCATGCACTGCTTTGATGTTGACAAACAAGTGCCCTCGGGAACTGAGACAGCCCTTTCACCTGTGGAATCGTTTGTGGAAACGCACATTCCCAATGACTGCTTGATATACATACACATGGGGTGTGATGCAAAAGGCAAACAACCAAGTCAAACAGTTATTGTTCCCTTATGTTCCCTTTCAATTTGTCTCAAGCAGGCTGTTGTTTTTGTCGATTCTCAATTTGTCTTGATTGCGTAGGCTGCAGCCCTTGACAGAGACTTAAGTAGAATATGTTTTTGAGACCTACATTGCAAAATATCCGCAAGTTTCCACCCCAAAGGGCGCCCAGGAACTTCTCAGTTGGATGTGTGTGTTTTTGTCTGGCCGTCAAGCTAAGCAAACAATGTGGCACGGCCCCCACCAAAGCAGATCCGAGTTTACACATGGTTCTGGAATGCGTGTCACTGCGTTCTACAATTTGCAGAGTCCTATGAACCTTTGGCTACATGTACAAAAGTACTGCAGAATCCAGTCGTGCCACTGTCAATTACTACACATGGTCTTCTTCCGGAAACATCCATGGGCCATGGGTATTTGGGCTCTCAAGCAGCTTGTGAAGATCTCCATTCGAGGGGCATAGAGCTCTCGAAGGCAGCAACTGCCAGGCCAAGCAAGGGGACACGCCAATCAGATGCGAGAGCATCGCATCCAGCCTGCACACGAGCGCAGGAAGCATCATGCTCGCAACCGTCCACAACCGTTCACAACCGATCGCAACCCTTTGAATGTGATCGATAAGGCCCTGACATTGGGGAAAGGTTTTGGAGGAGGTTTCGAATGAAAGGCTGAAGTGTCAGGTGATTCGTATGAGATAGCGGAGAAACGTACCTGGAAGTATGGAGGCACAAGAGTGAGTGTCTCCTACAAGAGTGTCCCACAAGGTCACAAGAGTGTCAAACAATGTTTGGCCGTTTGTTTTCCAGTGCACGTGTGCATCCGGGTTCGCGGGCTCCATCTTGTTCATCTCTTTTTGTTGTTGTCTCAAGAAACGATGAACAAACTGAGTAGACTTGCTGGTGCCCTGCTGATGGTCCGTGAGAATTCTCAGTGTTAATGATGATTGTTAATGCTGATGATCCAGCCTGGAAGGACAGTGCCACTTGAGAAAGACCGGCCACCCCTGAGCACGCTTGCTGAGCCCAGACTGAACAAAACCACAAGTGCCAAGTGCTGTGAGCTGTGTTTCAAGCCTGACTTTACCGGCAGTCCTGTTGCAAGTCAATCAAAGCAGCGCCCACAACTCTTGTCCGGATCTTGCGTTGCAGCTAAAGGCTGGAACCCTCCCAGCTGCCTTCGCCACGTCTTTCACCATAGTTCTCCTGTCACTATGAGGCCCTTCTGGCAGATATCTTCAGTGGTGTAAAACTCGTATTCATGGCATTTCTGTTGCGGTTCGCAGAGGACCCTGTCTTCACAGTTGGTGGGATTGTCCCCGCACAATCCTATGAAACCAGAAAGGCACTAGTCTGCACACGAGGCCCAAGCCCTGCTCACTGGCGGGGGCCAGTACATGTCCATGAGCCAAGGTCAAGTAGAAAGGTCTAAGGTTGAAAAAATTACACCACCGTAGACCCCAAACAGTTTGTGTTTTCAATATCGGAACACTCTGCAACTAGAGCTTGCGACGTCCAGAGCTGGGATACAAGGATTGCAAGGCAGAGGCGGCCACAGCAGTCCAGAGCTGCGAGACAAAAGGAAGACAGAGGGAGACAAATGTAAAGGATTGCAAGGCAGAGCAGCTGGGAGACAAACGTGAAGGGTTGCAAGCGAGAGGGGGAGAGAGGAGGCACATGTAAAGGAAAGAGGGAAGACAAGGCGGACACAATGACCAACAAGAAGGGGGACAACAAGGGAGACAAAAGGAAACACAAGGGAGACAAGACGGACATAGTGCCCAACAAGAAGGGAGACAAGACCGGAGACAAAGGGAGACAGAAGGGAGACAAGGCGGACACAATGACCAACAAGAAGGGACACAAAAGGAAACAGAAGGGAGACAAGACGGACACAGTGACCAACAACAGGGGGACACAGTGGCCAACAAGAACGAGAAATCACCTGGGAGACAGATATGAATAGAACTGCTGGAGAGGGGAAAAGGGCGGATGCCAGCAGTGCAGGCACCGAACCTGGAAAACAAAAGTAAACAAACTACATGGGAAACAAATGAATAGAAATGCTGCGTGGCCAGCGGAAAAGGGCGGACACCAGCAGTGCAGGCAGCGAACCTGAGAGACAAAAGTAAAGAAATCACTTTAAAGACAAACGAATAAAGAAACATCTTAAGAAAGAATTGAGAAACCCTACGTAACGGCAAACTATGTGGGGAATGAAAAGAAATGTTGCATCGCCAGCGGAAAAGGGCGGACACCAGCAGTGACACACCTCACAGACAAATGAATAGAAACGCTGCATGGCCAGCGGAAAAGGGCGGACAGACCTGGAAAACAAATGAATAGACATGCTACATGGCCAGCCGAAAAGGGCGGACACCAGCAGCGACAGACCTGGGAGACAAATGAATAGAAACGGTATATGGCCAGCGGAAAAGGGCGGACACCAGCAGTGACACACCTCGGAGACAAATGAATAGAAATGTTGCAACGCCAGCAGAAAAGGGCGGACACCAGCAGGGCAGACCTGGGAGACAAATGAATAGAAATGCTACATGGCCAGCGGAAA